GGAATTTTGGGAACATGTTTTTGATTTCGTTTAGGTTATTTTTGGGTGTTGTTTTGCGATCTATATGTGGCGAGAATCTTGATTTTTGGGGCTTGATTTGGTCTGAGTTGATTTATTGGTTTGGTGCGATTTGGTTGCCTTGAATCGTCTTTGTTACTAATTCTGAATCATCTTATAGTGACATTGTTTGTTTGGGATATTGTTTATGTGTTCCTCAACTTGAAATGATTTTTTTTTTTTAAGTATATATGATTGACTCGTGTTTATAAGATCATTGTTTCATCAGTTTTTGGTGATGTTAGAGTGAATTTTAAAGGAATGATTTTTTTTTTTTTGTTCCCTTTTCAGACACAATTCTCTCTTTGTTTGCTTTCTCTCCATGGTGTCAAGATCTTGTGCAAATTTTCTTGACTTAGCATCTTGGGACCTTTTGGATTTTCCTCAAGCTCATAGATCTCTTCCTCGTGTCATGACTGTTCCTGGTATTGTCTCAGAGTTGGATGGAGGTTACGGTGATGCCTCCTCCGATGCTAATTCCTCCACTGGTTCTCACGACCGGAAGATTATAGTGTCTAACATGCTACCTCTACAAGCTAAGAGAGATACAGAAACTGGACAGTGGTGTTTTAGCTGGGACGAAGATTCTCTTCTTGTGCAACTCAGAGATGGGTTTTCTTCGGATACGGAGTTCGTTTATATTGGATCGCTTAATGCTGATATTGGTACGAGTGAACAAGAAGCGATTTCTCAGAAGCTTCTGTTGGATTTCAATTGTGTTCCTACGTTTTTACCCAAGGAGATGCAAAAAAAGTTCTATCTTGGTTTCTGTAAGCACCACCTGTGGCCGCTCTTCCACTATATGCTTCCCATGTTCCCTGATCACGGAGATCGTTTTGACCGGGGTCTCTGGCAAGCCTATGTTTCTGCAAACAAGATATTTTCAGACAGGGTGATGGAAGTCATCAACCCTGAGGAAGATTATGTTTGGATTCATGATTATCATCTGATGGTTCTTCCCACATTCTTGAGGAAGCGGTTTAACAGGATCAAGCTTGGATTTTTCCTTCACAGTCCCTTCCCCTCGTCAGAAATCTACCGCACTTTGCCAGTTCGAGATGACCTTCTGAGAGGATTGTTGAATTGTGATCTCCTTGGGTTCCACACATTTGATTATGCACGCCATTTTTTGTCATGCTGCAGCAGAATGCTTGGCCTTGATTATGAATCTAAGCGCGGTCACATCGGGCTTGATTACTTTGGTCGAACGGTGTTTATTAAGATTCTTCCTGTTGGCATCCATATGGGTAGGCTGGAAACTGTTTTGAATCTCCCCTCCACTGCAGAGAAAATGAAAGAGATTCAAGAACAGTTCAAGGGGAAAAAGTTGATTCTCGGTATCGATGACATGGACATCTTCAAAGGCATAAGCCTCAAACTTATAGCCATGGAACATCTCTTTGAGACGTATAGGCATATGCGAGGAAAAGTTGTCCTGATTCAGATAGTGAACCCAGCACGGGCCGCAGGTAAGGATGTGGAAGAAGCAAAGAGGGAGACATATGAAACTGCAAAAAGGATTAATGAGCGGTATGGTTCCGCTGGATATCAGCCGGTGATCTTGATTGATCGTCTTGTTCCCCGTTATGAGAAGACTGCCTATTATGCTATGGCAGACTGCTGTCTGGTGAATGCAGTAAGAGACGGCATGAACTTAGTTCCTTATAAATATATTATATGTAGGCAAGGGACTCCAGGTATGGATAAGGCCATGGGCATTAGCCATGATTCACCACGCACAAGCATGCTTGTGGTCTCTGAGTTTATCGGCTGCTCGCCTTCGTTGAGTGGCGCGATCAGGGTGAACCCATGGGATGCAGATGCTGTGGCTGAAGCGGTGAACTTAGCTCTCAAAATGGGTGAGACTGAAAAGCAGTTAAGGCATGAAAAACACTATCACTATGTTAGTACTCATGATGTGGGTTATTGGGCAAAGAGCTTTATGCAGGATCTCGAGAGGGCATGCCGGGATCATTATAATAAACGTTGCTGGGGTATTGGTTTTGGCTTGAGTTTCAGAGTTTTGTCCCTGTCTCCGAGTTTTAGAAAGCTATCTATCGACCACATTGTCTCGACGTACAGAAATACTGAGAGAAGGGCAATATTTTTGGACTATGACGGCACACTCATTCCTGAAAGCTCCATTATTAAAACCCCTACTGCCGAAGTCCTCTCTGTTCTGAAATCTCTGTGTGGAGATCCTAAAAACACGGTGTTTATCGTCAGTGGAAGAGGGTGGGAGTCTCTGAGTGACTGGCTATCTCCATGTGACAATCTTGGAATAGCGGCTGAACACGGGTACTTCATAAGGTATAATTGCTCAAGCTTTTAACATAAATTGTTTCTCTCATTTAAGGTTGCTAACAAGAAACTAAGATCCATTTTATATTTGGATTCAGGTGGAGTAGCAAGAAAGAGTGGGAGACTTGTTACTCGTCAGCTGATGCTGAGTGGAAGACAATGGTAGAACCGGTAATGAGATCGTACATGGAGGCAACCGATGGTTCCACTATAGAGTTCAAAGAGAGTGCTTTGGTTTGGCATCATCAAGACGCAGATCCAGACTTTGGTTCTTGCCAAGCAAAGGAGCTTCTGGATCATCTAGAGAGCGTACTCGCAAACGAGCCTGTTGTCGTCAAGAGAGGCCAACACATCGTAGAGGTCAAACCACAGGTAAGATAGAGAGATCCATTTTTAATCTGTTAAGATCTCGTGAACCAGCATTCGCGCTAATCAAATGCAAAAGCCTCCTATCCCTACCTTCTTATGTGATAGAATATGTTAAATATTTTGTTGTGATGCAGGGAGTAAGCAAAGGCCTAGCCGTGGAAAAGGTGATACACAGAATGGTAGAGAATGGAAACCCACCGGACATGGTGATATGCATAGGAGATGACAGATCAGACGAGGACATGTTTGAGAGCATATTGAACACAGTGACAAACCCGGACCTCCCAATGCCACCAGAGATATTTGCTTGCACGGTGGGAAGAAAACCGAGCAAAGCCAAGTACTTCTTAGATGATGTCTCTGATGTATTGAAGCTCCTAGGTGGATTGGCTACTGCATCGAGCAGCTCGAAGCCCCAATACCAGCAAGAATCCTCCTCCAATAAACAAGTGGCGTTTGAGAGCATAATCTGATAACATGAATTGTCAGTGTAAGGAGCCAAAACCAAACATATAACATGGAAAGGGAGTGTGATGGATTGTGGGATTGGGGGTTGTATATCAAGGTTAACACGGTAATCGTGTGTGATTTTTTCTCTTTCTTTCTTATTTCAAGCTTGGGGAGGATGTTTTCTTCAATCTCTCGTCCACGTTGTCTTTTAGAATTGCAGTTTTTCATCTCTTTTGTACAGAAGTCTCTAATGTGGTTTGTGCATGTGCTTCTCACGTGCCAATTCAAAAATCATCAAGCTTGTGTTTGTGTTGAACCCTCTGATCTTTCAGAGCTTAACCACACTTTTTCCTTCTCTTCTTCTTCTTATCAAAACTCTAATCTTCTCGTCTCTCCAATCCAATCCCCGAAAAATGTCTAACCCTAAAGTTTTCTTCGATGTGAGCATTGGCAATGAGCCTGCAGGCCGGATCGAGATGGAGCCTTACGCAGACAAGACTCCAGTGAATGCTCATAATTTTCGTGCTCTGTGTATAGGGATGCTGTTGGTGGGTAATAATATGTGTCCTAAATAAGTAAAAACAAACTACTCAAATCATCGTTTCACTTCCATGTTCAAGTAACAGATCATTAGCTAAACTTAAATCTTATGATCAAAACTCAAAGACGTTCACAGATCATAAGTTCCATGTTTTATCAAAAGAGTAAAAACAAAACAAATAATTATGTGAGTCTTATGATCAAAAGCTGATCACAGTTCATTAGTTAATCTTAATTCTCCAAACATTATCGTTTCCTTCCATGTTCACGTGGAAGAGCTTGTGGCATAGTCTCTGCAACATCAGTTCATCATGAGAAGAAATCAACTCCAAAAAATGATCAATATTGCCTGGACAAAAATAAGATTAAGCATTTTACCT